GTAAGGGGAAAGAGAATGCCAGGTTGTCCAGGGAGAGGGCGACAGAGAGAGAGGGAGGGCGGCCCGCCTCCCCGGCCCGGCGCTGCTTCGCGGGTATTCCATTCATCCGCGTGAGCGCCGCGCACCCGGGCGGCCGCCCCTTTCCGCTGCTCCGGGGCTGCCGAGGCGCGCGCTCCTACCGATGCTCTTCCCTCCTCGGGAGCGCCCCGGCGACCTCCTCTCTCCTGGTTTAAGTGCGGAGTTGAGGTTTTCTTGCTGGTTGGGACCACAGCGTCGGGGTAAATTGAAGCAGCTTTTCACTTTGCACTTATCATACTCCAAAAGCTCTCAGTCCATGGTGTTGGGGCTCCCAGGTCTGCAGCGCGCTGGAACACAAAGCCCGAGCTTTGAAGAATTCGTTTATTCAGGATATGTTTGTTGAGCGCATACCTACCTGTCAGATACCGTTCTTAGGCGCCAGGAATGTAAGCTGAAATGACTGATACGAACCCTGCTCTAGGTTAATTCATTCGGGTGTGGGGGACAAATACACAATCGCAAATACTAATGACAGTCGCCAAGAAGGAAGCAGACGGGACGATGCTGTGTAGGGGCGCGTTGGTGTATTAGAAGGTTGGTCAGATTTAATCTGAAATCCGTGACGTGAAATACGGCCCCTTAAAAGGCAGGAAGAGAAGTGTATCAAGTATAGGGAACAGGGGCATAAGCCCTGAGGCTGGAAAGAAAGCTTGACTAGTTGGAGGCCTCCACCGAAAGCTGCAGGTGCTTGCAAGAATAGTGATTATGAGATAGAGTGGGAGGAGTAGGCATCTGCAGGACCTCATAGACCATAACGAAGAGTTTGGATTCTACTCCAAGTGCAGTTGGAAGCCATTGAAGCGTTTTAGGGACAGGCGAGACATGCCTTGCTAATATATTGTACTTAAAAAATAATCATTGCTGCATGTGTAAGTTGGAGAGAGAGTGAAAACTGGAGACCAGTTAGGAGATTCGTGCAGTAACCCTAGCGTCCTTGGAGATGACTATGAGTGTGTTCACTTTGGAGGAGTTTAGCCACCAAGTGTCTTGGTTCTTTTCTTTCATTGGAATGATGGTGAGCAGATGAGAGAAAAAGTCTGAATTCACTGGGGATACTACTAGTTTGCTGAATGGACAAACATTAAGTGATCACATAAATGTTTGAAAGTCAAAAAAGACCTGGTCCTAACTTCCAGCATGATAATGGAAGACTGACAGGTGTATCTGCCTTCAACTTCCTTCTGGGATTTCATATTTGAGACTCGAATTGTTAGTATACCCCCAGAATCACCCATTGCTTCACTCTT